GATGACCTCTGAGGCCCCTTCCAGCTCCACCCTTCCAAGTGAGCTGGGGGAGTCGCTGAATACGAAGCTCCCATGCCTGGCTGGGAGGGACCGGGCCGCCAGGACCTTCGCGGCGAGCGCCCCGAGGCTCCTGCTCTGCTTGGGCCAAACAGCGGGCATCTGAGTGTCTGCCTCAACACCAGGAAGCCCCTTGACGGAACGTGCTGCCATCCCCGAGTTGTGATCTACCACCACGATTTCAGCTCTGGTCATCTTAAATACCTCTGGCTCAGTTGACAGGAGCTTTTAATGAATTTTGCTTGGAACAGCAAAACAGCTTCACATGTTACCATAGGAGCTATGATGGGTTGCTTCAACTATCATTCTCAGCTAAAACAGCCAAGCCATGTTATAGTGTAGCTGTATGTGTGAACTAGACCATGTTTTACACCTTCTGAGTTTAATCAAATTGATTGGAGGATTAGATTCCACACCTAGCAAATGCCTGCCTAACATACTTCAGAGTTTTCATCAGATGCTGTGTCCCCCATCTTCGTGTAGTATCAGCTCGAGCCTAGTTAAATGCTGGAGTTGAAAAAAAATCCTGTCCATGGTTTCTGCAGTTCTGGTAACACGTTGCCTTGCCTACCCCCATTCAGCTTTTTCTCTCTCTCTAGTCAACAGGGGAAGAAGACGGGAAAGGCTCTGACGAACAAGAGAAGACCAAAAAGCAAAAGGCCTACACAAAGAGATTGTTACAGATAGTAGGCCTTCTGGGAGCTGGCAATGGGGTAGCAATTATCTACATCTTTGGTAAGTCAGCTTTCAGTCTGAGGCCTGTGCTCTCATGGTGCACTCAAGATAAAATCAGCACCAGACATGGCAGTCAGTGCATCTTGTTGAGGCTCCCTTCTCTGGCTTATGATCTGAATTGTTGCAGTTGTACCCTGGGGCAGGCCTGTGGTAATATCTTCCAGTTATTTGAGTGGATGGAGGTTTTTGTTCTGTTGCTACAGCTTGAAATCAGAATATAGATGGATTGGACAGTGCTCTGAAGGTGAAGAGTTGAATGGTTTATTGCCCAGAACGTTGCTTCAGGCAATTAAGACACCGGCTGTGTCCTCTTTGATTGCTCTAGGGATTAGTTGGCCAGCCAGGAAGATTGCTGGATGAGAAGAATTGTGTCCAGTTTTATTTCTGTATCTATCTTAAATCCAGTTCAGTTACTGTTAGGAGACATGATGAGGTCAGGCCTCCAGTTTCATATGCATGTCTCCCCAGGCTATTAAATTTCTCCCTACTGCTCATTGCTGCTGAGGTGACAAGATAAAAAGCACCTTCCTAATAGCTGAACATTCAGTTGCTTGTAAATCTCAGTCTGAACATGATCATAGTCTGTGCCAGGGGGCCTTCCAGCAGTTGTTAAACTACCTCTCCCAGCATCCCTCACTCTCGGCCATGCTGCCTGAGATGCTAAGAATTGTCATTGAGCAACAGTTGGTGAGCCATAAGTTTCCTGCCTCAGTCTGAGGAATAGTAATTTTCCATTGGCTTTTATAACACAGCAAAAGGTAAAGACTCCCTTGACTGGAGTTGGACAGGTAGTAACTGCAGAGACACGTCTACACAGTTTGCTCGTGGAAATGTTTTTTCCTTGCCTCTTTCTAGGACATCTTTTTACTTCTCAGTGTAGCCTCAGCTTTCCTGGTGAGGTCCCACTCAAGAACTAACTAGAATCAGCCCTTTTTAACTTTCAAGATCAATCCTGGTCAGGTAGGTGGCCTGCCACCTACTGTGACCCAGCTCTCAGGATGAACATAACAGTGTAGAGTGACCTTTTCAGCTTCTTTTTCTCTCACTCACCCACTCTCTTTTTGTGGCAGGTCGTAATTCAGTGGATGAAAATGGTGCAAAGGTAGGTTGCTCTGTTGTCTGAAGGGTGATTCTCTTGTTAACTAGATGGCTGCCGCCAGGGGTCGTCCAAATATTCAGAGGATGCTGTGCGGTCGACACTCAGATGTTGTGGCTTGTTGTATCTGAAGCCCAGCAAAGGTTAAGTTTGGCACCCAGATAAACTTAGGGCCTGGCAACATCTGACTGGGAAAAGCAGCAATGGAATATGGTGAAAGCCAGCATCATGAGGGATATATATCCCTGTAGAGAAAGACCACTTTAAATGCAAGCTTCCAAAATGGTGCTCATCTGGTTTTTCACTCTGGTTGTCAGTCCTTTAAGATTGCATCAGCCCTGAAAGGCCAGCTACACCGGAAATGGCTTTTTCAAGTTCACCAGGAGACCTTGATAGGAGGCAATTTCTTCCATTTTGACATCCAGCCTTCTAGCTCTTGTCACGTGCCATGAGGTGGCAAGAATTCTTCAGCTCCAAAAATAACCAGCTCAAAGTCCCAGAATCAAATCTGCCCCCTCAGCCGTCCTAGGAGGACTTCACAATGTCCATTGCAAAAGTAGGGAAGGAGGTCATGTGAGTGGTAACGCTCTTAGTTGCTGGCATGCAGTGCTCCAGTTTTGTGACTTTGCTTTTGTTTGTTTAAGACATTGTCTCAAAAGAAAAATAGCTACCAGTATTCTTTTTCTTATACTTTTCTGAACAGTGTGTTGTTATTTGTTCTCTTTTCTGTAGTTTTCACTCTCCCCACCAATACATACTTGCTGCCTCATTAATCCATCATGCCTCTTTTTACAAAATATCTCCAGGGATACTCTTTTTATCCTCATCCTGATTCTGAACAAAATGTGCAACTTGTAAAATAACCAGTTGTAACTTTGAGCAGCACAGAATGTAAACCAGCCCAGCTTCCCAAATTCCTTTTGTGCCACCGAAACAATATTTGGGTGGCTATTTCCTGTTACACAATGACTCAGCCTTCAGCTTAGGACAGGCGGTGGGGAAAAGTCTGAAGCCAAGTTCCCACAGATGTTTTGTGATCTTGATTACAGCAGGCACATGTTGCCAGGGATGTGTGAAAGGACTTGCTGATGGGAGCCTGATGTACCTGTTGTCTCTGGAGGAACTAAGAGCGAGGGGTGCTCCAGCAGGGTAGCTCTTCGTCGTTGCTGGTGATGCTGTACTTGCCAACTCTTGCCTTGAGAAAAGTTTCCTTTAGGCTTCCAGCGTTTTGCCCACTTGTGGGCTTGTTACTTTGTTGGTGAGTTTCAGGGGAAAACGCCTTATCCTTTTGTTCAACACTATAGATGGAAAAAGCTGTGCTTAAAGTTTATAGCATGCTTGTAGATTCTGCATTGTTGAATTACTTTTTTTTTTTTTTTACCAATAAAGTCCTTCTCAGTTTCAGCTTGATGAGTAGTGACTCTGTGGATAGGTCCATGGTGTGATCCTGGCAGCAATACAGAAGTGTTTTTTGGTATTTCATTACCCTCTTCTGGGCTGTTTTTTGAGTCTTCCATCTGATTCAGTCTAGTTTACAACTGACATGACTGAAGTACGCATAAAACAAAATACCACGCTAGAATTCAGCGTATGTGCATAAACGTGTGTTTCTCCCCCACCCCTCAGCAACAGTTATGTACAAAACGCTGCAGCCTAAATCTTTAAGCACTACTTTTGGTATAAGCAGTATTTATTGTGCAGCTGGGAAGTGCAGGTGGCTTCTGCAGTCGCCTCAGTATGGTGTTTATGCACGTTCAGTTTGTGATCCATCTTCCGTATTTTCCCAACTTGGCGTTTTCCTGATTTGTCTAGGGTGACAGTATCTGGAATCTGCAGCCAGCATGCTTATCTTATAGGTGTCTTTTTAAATTGTTGAATCCTGGAGAGATGACTTCTGGTCAAATCCTCCTATTCTGCTGCCCTTAGTGTGAATTGCAAGCCACGCTGATTAGGGTGGACTCTTTTGATCTGGAGCACAAGTCCCAAGTGCCCTTGAGGAAACAAGGTGTGAATTGCTAGTGGCCTTACATATCCCTGAGGCATTTTGAACTGTGACTAAGATACACCCACCCACTACCCCCAACACCTCTTTTTTAAGGCCCTGATTTCCGGATTGTCTTTCTGTATACTGGCAGCTTTGATGTTGGAGGAGGCAAAAGCTGCCATTCTTCACCTTGTTGTAAACAACACCTGAATTATCTTAGGAGATGAGGACATTGTACTGCAGTACCCCTGAGCAAGAGATGGCTTCTTCAATCACCCCGGATGAATGACTCTCTTTTCTTCTGTTCTCCCCCAACCTCCATCAGTCACCCAAACATGAACACGTTCCTTTCATGCTCCTGGGCCTTCGTTTCTTCTCGCTGTTATGGGCATTAAGTCAGCTTATGGCCGGCACATGCCATCTGCTTTGGATTGTTTGCACTAAGAAGCACCTTCCGGCACAATTGGCGGCTGTTTGAGAAGTCTATATTAGAAAAAAACAGGTTGGAGCACAGAGCCCGTCACTTAGCTCTTTCTCCCTTAATTGAGCCAAAGGAAATGCTGTGTTTGCCCACCATAGTACCAATGCACAGTCAAGATTTGGCATTCAAGTGGACTTTTTCCCCTTGCTTTAAAAATCAAGTTTTAAAAAGTTTATCAAAACTTATATTGATTTTTCATGTTCTATGGTACCGTTATTCCTTGGACAATTAGTAGATGTACATTGTTGTTTTTTTAATCTGTTCATTCGTGTCTGATTCTCTGGATATGCCCCGAGTGCCTGGACAAGCCCCAGCAGTTTTCTTGACAAGGTTTTTCAGAAGTGGTTTGCCATTGCCTCCTTCCTAGGGCTGAGAAAAAGTGACTGGCCCAAGGTCACCCAGCTGTCTTTGTGCTTAGGCAGGACTAGAACTCACCTTTTCCCAGTTTCGAGCCTGATGCCTTCACCACGACACCAGACTGGCTCAATGTACGGTAAGATGTACGGTGTACGCTCAGTTCCCCTAGAATTATGTCATTAATATGGAAGCTTCCTGCACAGTGTTGGCTAGAATAAGTGGAACTTATCTAGGTCATCTCAAATAGAATAAATTTTATGTGTATACATTTGTCTCAAAAGGGAGCCCCTATTTTTTGGGAAAACCCAAGGGACAGGATGTCTAGAATTCTTGCAAATGGCCTTGCTTTGAAGTAGCTCCCTGCCTTTCCCTGTCTGCCCCTTTCCGCCCTGTTCTGGGGCCCTAATAAAACCCCTTTGGTTTTGCTAATGACCCTTCTTTAGGCTGCCTGTCGCATTCATGTGAATGGCCACAGTGAGGCGTGAGGTGGCCTTCAACAGAGCAAATGTGCCTGGTCTAAAGGCCATGGCACACTTCACAACTTCCTGCAAGTCGCATGGCATCGCCTGGGTGCAAGGGGACCTGTCCTGTCTAGGCATATCTTTGCCTAAGTGGTTGTAAAATGGAGTCAAGCTTTGATCTCTATTTCTTTCCCACACTGTGCTTTTGCTTCCATGTCCTGAGAAGTGTGGATTTGCTGAAAGAGGCTTCTTGATCTTTTTTTATTACAAATTTCCTTTCTCACTCTCCCTGTATGCATTGATCTCCCAGCCTCAGTCTTGAAAACAAAATGTTGGCAACTTCTGAAAAGCTCTGAGTAGGGCAACGTAAGTGAGCCTTTTGGATCTAGGTGACCCTGGGAAGGAGGCAACATTTGGGTAAATCTGGAAGAATGGTCTGCTTCTTGGTACCCTCGCTGCCTCTTTGCGCATCTTAGGAGAATTCTTTGATATCGTTTTGAGTAAGGATCTCACCAGTGTGTTCCTGACTCTTACATATTTGGTGCTGACCCTTTGGAACTTCATATCCCTTCCAACCATCTTAGAAACTCAAGTGTTCAAGAGTCTGTTTTGTTTACTGGATACAGTATGGCCCTTGTGATGAGGACTGGGCTGTGGTGTTTAAGATATGTAGATTTCCTAGGCCTTTCTCTCAAGGTGGTGCTGTTGAGCTTGAAAACTCTAACTGAAATATTGGTAGAAAGCAGAGAATTACATCCCTTAAAATTAAAGCAAACAGGTCAAGCAGTGTTACAGAGGATCATCACCTTACGCATTGCCGCCTCTGCTCCTGAGTTCACCCAGACCTCTCTGAGCTTCCCAATCAATGTACACCCAGTGGAACCGTTTTTCATGTTGGGTCTTGTGCACCTGATGGGAGGGTAGTGGGGACAAACAGTGCAGTCGCTTCCAGGGCTCGGTATTGCAGAAAAGGGAGCGATGGGTGAGCAGAGGAAGGGGCCAGATCTTTTCTGTTAAAATACTTCTGAACTGCATATAATTCCTTGTCGGCTGTGGTCCAGCGTCTCCTGGACTGATCCCGCATTGCAGAACTTTCCAGCAGACCCAGGCGATCCTGAGCAGGCTTATTAAAGCGGAAGGGTTCCTGAACATGGAATGCCTTGACTGCCCCTGTATGAGCCACACAGAGACCTGCACAGATTTCTCCAACCTCCTCTGCCTTGAGTTCGCTGTATGGTTCGTTTGTGAGTCTTTCTGGCTTTCGACCAGTAAAGAAATCTGGAATCTTAAATTCTAAGCCAAAAAATGTGCCGCTGTGTCCCTTGAGATGGCACCTGTAGCAATCATGTTTCATATGGTTAACTAGTGAGGATGAATTCAGTATTTACATGCTCAGTTGGGTAAACCTGGTAGCAGTGCCGAATTTGTTTAAGTATGGTGGGAGGGAACCAGGGAGGGGAGCAGACATCTGACAGCTGCCAGTGTGCTCCAAGACACTGCCTCCTCTCCGTTGTCAGCACTAGTTTCCTGCCCTGTCAAGTTGATGTTCTGCTGCCTGGAACAAAGGGGAGATGAAGATTAGGCGTTGGATTAATCTTGATGCATTTTACAGTCTCTTTTGCTTTGCCTCTTCCTACTTAGTTTACATAATCCCGAATTCTGTGGCCAAAGGGGTAAAACAAAACAACAGTTCATGAACTTGTGTGTGTCCCTTAGCAATGGATTAGGTTTGTTTCATGCAGCATTCTGTCCAGGAGCTTTTTGAAAGGTAGACCCAGGATTATTAAAATAATCACCATGTCTTTTTGTAAATTTATTCGTGCCAAGGATTTTATGGGATTGCTCCAAGCCCAGCCGTGGTTTGAGTGGAGGATTTTAGAGCGGATTGGAACTTCTTTAGAGGATTTTGCAGTTTAGGCCAACAGCTGCTTTCCTTCTGCACCTGTAGCTGAAAAGAATAAAACTCTTGCTTTCAGCGAAGGATGGCTGTGTATTCACGCACTCATGCAAGATCAGATGGGGGTGGGGAGATTGTTGTTTTAAGATCTATTAAGGCCTATTGTAGCTTTGTATGGATGATTCTTTGGTGCTCAAACAGCTGGTGCTTTCAAAATGGGTAGAGTTGAAAGGCTGCTTTTCCCAGTGAGTCTTCCTGGGCCTGTGGATCAATGCTAAGAGAGGTGGTTCAGCCATATTTCAAAACCTTGGAGCCTGATTTTTACCCGACAAAAACTTTTAACCTGAAATGCAGCACCATCCAAATTGGCTGCAAGTTATATTTGTACTCACGGCAGTGCTACTTAACAAACCAGTCACACTAGGTTGCTTTTTCCGTTTGTTTTTGCCTCCTTTCATACTTAACCTGAATCTGAATAAAATTACGCAAGATGCAGTTGTAAAATAGTAAAGAGAATCAAGCAATTGGGTGGGTAGGCTGAAGACATGGAAAACTTATTTGAGGTGTTTGAAATCAGTAAGATAAATGTAGGACCCAGCCTGTAACAATATAAAAGGACTGATCCAAAGAGTGGATCCAAAAATCCAGTGGGATTTTTAAAAATCTCGTTCTGTTCCCCCTGCTCCCCCACCTGTTCGCTCCTCTTGGGGAAACCACTCTTGGTTCCCCACTTTGGTGGGGCTGAGGTTTGCAGGCACTGCTTCTCAGGGGGGTGCCTTTGCTGTGGAATAGCACCCACCCCACCCTGGAAATAAGATTGGCCCCATGTTATCAGCTTTCTGTAAGCTTTCAAAAACGAAATTGTTTTGGACAGCCTATGAAGAACAAAATGAGACCATCAGTTTATTGTTGCTATTGCTTGCTTGTATTTTATTTTACAATTTTTAGTTTTGTATTGTATTGTTACTGTGATCTTACTGATTGCCATATACCTATCATTAACCATTTGGAGTCTGTGGATTCTAGTGGTTAGAAATCAAGTAAATAAATAAGACTATCTCTGTTTCTGAAAATCGCTCTTTTGGATGTTTGAGGATTAGAGGCTGAAATTCATGAATGGCTTTTATTCCTAACTTAAGTATTAATCTGAGTGTTAAATCAGCCTTCAGTTTAAGACAAAGAGAGGCAGTCTAGGATAAAGATGTTTATCCCTCTGTTTTCTTTATAAGGGGAATGAAGTTAGTAGCCAATGTCTGTCCTTCAGGCATCTTATACATTTTGTTCATTGGGTCTCTTCATCGGGACTTCTGGAAGGAGACAGGAGATGCAAGAATAGATTACGAGGAGGGTTGTTGATCGGCGTACTGAAGGAGGCTCCCTGATTGAGCATCACCCCATTCAAACTGTTTTTCCTCCACAGACCTCAGGGCTGTGATTCCAGTGTGCGCCTCGGGTTCTGCATTATCTAAACAAGCAACAGGGTGGCTGGAAACACAGAAGAGCTATTTCCTACCCCTTGCCACAGCTACGGAGCTCTGAGGTGTGAGAGCCATTTGGTTGGAGCACCAAAGCTCATTGCTTTGGCAAACACAGAAGTAAATTAAAAAAAAAAAAAACAGGCGCAAAGTGGTTGCTGACTTCTCAAAGAAGATGACTGGAGGCCACTTGCTCTGACTGGAAACCTCCCTTCTGGCTCCCTCCCCTCCCGTTCCCCAATGCAGCTTGTGTGGGCATTCAGTGAAGGGTTTCGCTCATGCTTATTGTCCCTTTGGCGGATTATGAAGCACCAGACTCCTTGCAGGAGCTGCACGCTGTCATATGGCTGCCCCATGCCTTGTCTTACTCGCATACATGCTCAGGAGTCACTCTCTAAGGGTCTCTGGGACAGATCGGAACTCCCCTAGGCATGATAACAAGCTGTTCTTTCCCCCAGAGCGTTTAGTGCATCCTCTGCAGGAGGGCCTGGCGCAAGGAGACAGTTTCTAGACATTGGAAAGATGCTTTGGGCTTGACCGGGAGCGGCTGGCCTCCACGGGAAACACAGCGCTTTGGTCCAGTCCAGTAGCCAGGGTCTTCTGTTCTTACTTCTGTTGCCTGATTCTGCCCCTCAGTTGAGGTTTCCTTTCAAACCCTTTCTTGGATTTGACTTCCCTCCAGATTAGAAAGGTGGCCAGCGGCTAACAGAGGATGAGCATTTTGGGGGCCTTTACGTTCTCTCTCCTCAGATGCGTTTGCTTTTTTAGCTCTGGCCCCTTAAATACCATCCTCTTCATCGGACATTGTAGGAAAAGAGCCCCGTTAGTCTATGGTAGCCAAAAATCAGAAAGGGTCTGGTAGCAGCCTTTCCAACTCACTAATTTTATTAAAAGGCATAAGCTTCAAAAATCAAAAGGAGTCTGGTAGCTTGAAAGCTTATGTCTTTTAATAAAATTGGCTCATGGGGAAGGCCCCAAGCGGCGAGTTCTAGTCCTGCCTTAGGCATGAAAGCCAGCTGGGTGACTTGGCCAGCCCCTCCCTCTCAGCCCAGACTCTCAGTTCCTGTCGCAACCAATGGATCAACACTTGACTGATCCCAAAAACGCGGACTCTGCACCTACAGGGAAAAACACTAGGATGAAAAAAACTATAGTTGGAAAAGGCGCTAAGGGTAGAATATGGAAAGAAGGGAACCATGATGTATCCTTGGAGAGAAAGGATAAAATATAAATGCATTTGTAACTGCTGTAAAGAAGATTGGAGCCGCTCCTTTATATCTTCATGCTTTTCTTTCTCTTCTTTTCTTTCTTTCCTATTTACTTATCACTTTTCTTTTACTTTTCTTTTTTCCTTAAATTTGTATTTTTTTGTAAAAAAAACCTTCTTTAATAAAAGTTAATTAAAAAAAAAGAAAAGCGCTACCAGACTTCTTCCTCACCATTGGTAGTAGTTGTAATAATATTTTTGTGGCTCAAGCTATTGTTATGTCATTGCTTCCTTTTGTTTCTCTACTAGCTAGTTTGCTTATACTGCCATTGTTTTAATGTGGAAATTTGGCAAGTGCCCTTGGGGCTCTGAGCTGATTTTGCTAAAGAGAGAAGTACCTTCCAGAGCAACAGGCCCGGGCCTGCCACAGAACTTAAGGAAGCTTCAATGCCTTAAAGTTTGTTTCCTCTCTTTATGATGCATCTGTGTAGATGTGACAGAGAGAGCTCTTTAACACGTTCATCTATTTCTGGACAGTCCTGGGGAGCAGACAGAAAAAGAGCATCTCTCCTCTTGTTAATTCCTGTGTATATTACACCAAGGCATTGTTTTCCTCTGTTCACTCAATGGCTGAGTCTCCATCATATCCTGATTATTATTTTTTTTTTAAAAAGGTTCCTGCCTCTGGAATGGCACTATGGGCATGGGAATAAAAGTATCCCAAAATTAACCATATCCCTCAACATCTATGCATCTCATCTTCCTTCCTGCCGTCTGTTTTGACCTTGTCTGTCTTCCGGTGACCTGCTTGCATGACCAGTCTGAACTCACAGTCACCACCTCCTGCTCCCTCCAGGACCGTTTTGTAAACATTAAAGGAAGAAAATGAATCATAGCAGCTACTGTGCTACCTCACTCAACCCTGGAGTTCTGAAGTTCTAAACCAGTCTTCCCCAACTTGGTTCCCTCCTGGTATATTAGGGCTGCTGGGAATTCTGGCAATTACAATCTGAGCACATCTGGAGGTGCCACATTAGAGAAGGCAGCATTAAATAGGTAGACATGTGGGTGGGTGTGTCTTATCCCCCCCAGCTCCTATTTTAAGAAATATAATGTACCCTTGGAATCAAAATAAACATCTCGTTTTCTCTCTTTCTTTGTAGATTCCTGATGAATTTGACAATGGTAAGTAGACAGACCAGGGTTTTGAAAATTGCCTTCGTGTGCTCTGGTCAACAGATTGAGTTGAGGGGCAAAAGTGGGAGTGAAAGCGTTGCAGAAGTAAATCTGGAGTTGCCACCACTATTCAAGGGAAACACATCTGGAACTTACCCCCAGCTTACTGTATATTATTTGCAGTTTATATACCAGAATTTGTTTCTAATATCATAGCTACATTTCTTGAGAGCAAAATGAACATTGGGAAATTATTTTCAGACATAATATGCTTCAGTATCTAGCTCAGCTGAATTGCACCAGAAACTACTCTATAAATAGGTTGAAGTCTTTGGATCATAAGCGGGGCTGTAAGAGAACCACTGCAGTGGTGTCCTGACACCACTCTTTATCACCTTTTTAAAAAGTGAATATTCCCTTAGTGCAATGGCGAGAAATAACCAGAATTGCTTTCCATTTGTAATTGGCTGCACAGGCGAGAGAGTTTCTCTCTTCCTTCAGCGGCTGCCTCGAAAGCAGATGCGCTTGTCCGTTGTCAAAAGCAGAAGGTCAGGCGGAACTTTGGTCAGGATGGGGAGCCAACCTCCCTGCCCCATTCCTCAGACCATGCAAGGCCTCCCCACTTCTCCCTCCCCCCGTCTCTGCACATAGCCGGAGGCAAACATCCGTGGTAGTCTGATAATGGGGAAGAATGAAGAGGCTGGAAGACTTCGGATGGGGCGAGGGCGGCGTGTCCCCAGGGTGGCTAAAGCGTGTCGCTAGCATTCCAGATGTCCTCCTGAAGAGAGAGGCAGCTGGAGAAGCAGATTTCAGAGGTTGACATCTTCCTGGGGGTATGTTTTGGTTGCAGGGAGGCCCCCGAGACTTCCTGACCCATGCTGCATAGACTCCGTGCTTTTGCAGCAGATTTTGCTGGGCTCGGGCAGAACAACCCTGCGTGCGGGGCTGGTTCAAGCCTGAGACGTCACTCTTGGCTTTTCTTTTGACTGGGAACATAGATGAACCTGGTGACCCCTTAGATAAGCTAACGTACGCTGCTCACAAATGACACAACGCTCATCAGTTGTCTTCAGAGTTGGTTGGAGTTGAGCAGCACCAAAGTCGAATTATTCATCGTCGTCGTCATCATTATAATATAGGGGGATGGCTCTTTTCAAAAACACAGCATGACCCCTTGTAGCCACGATGCACCAAGGAGAGTTCTGGTTTTTCTGCCTGCCGTAACATTTAAAAAAGAATCTTTGCTTTCTGAGTTTTGGAAGTCAGACGGGAGGAGGGAGGCCTGGGGTGCTTTTGTGCAGCAGAGGGCCAGATGGAACTTGGTACCAGGATTCCCCAAAGCAGATTGTAGTGGAACGTCTCTAACAAAGTGGGGGGGAGCAGTGGGGTGGGGGGAGCTGCTTTGGGGAAGACGCAGCCCAGAGTTGAGATGGGAACCGCCTTTCACCGGCTCCTTTCATCCAGGCATATGTCCTGACAGATTAAAAGGCGTAGCCTCATTGTTGCCCACAATAAATTTACTCCTCCTGCCCCCCTTCCCTTTCTTCCAGATTTTCAGCTAACTCATCCCTCCTTGGTAGAAAGACGTGCACATTGCGGGTAACACGTTTTGTTTAACCATATCTGGTGCTGCTCTTGGCAGCCTCTCTTCCCTGTTCTCCTTCCTGAATTGTTTAACCACAGCAACTTGCCCCGAAGAGTGAAGGAATCCCTGCCCAAGCTGAGATGTTACTTAGCTTTTCCTGCAATGGGGGTGTGGGAGCCCAGTGGTCCAGGGCAAAACCTGGGATGCTTGTTTGTCAGAAAGGTTTTTATGCTGGTGCTTATAACATGTTGCAGTTTACAAAATAAAACATGACATTCCCAAAGCAGATCCATTTCGGCCAGAAAGCAGTGTCACAATTAGTAAATCAGTTTAAGTCAACCCAGCAGAACTAGCCCAGGAAACAGAGTTGTGTTGCTTCTCCAGACACATAGAGCAAACGTGTTGTGCTTCATGGATGCATTAGGAAAGGAAAATGCAAAACCAGTGGAGTTGTTGTAGTCTCCCACTTCACCCAGTCTGGTCTTACGTCTGTGTGGGTTGGGAAGAACCATGGCAGGGCCCAGAAACAAGCTAGAAAGAGGTCAGGAGTCCAGCCAGACTCATAAACCAAGCTCAAATCATAGTGTAAGATTGGGATTTCTTGCCAAGAAAAAGCATGGCTTGTTCAGGTGTTCAGACAAACTGCCCTATGTCTTCCAACAGTTCTGAACTACAGTTTCCACTATCCCTAACCGTTGGCCATTTGGGCTGTGACTGATGGGAGTTGCAGTCCAGAACAGTTGGCTGAAGTCAGCTGAGCTAAACAAATCCTGGCTTAATGTTATATGTGAATTACCTGTGTTCAAAATAGTGAACTAAGCAGACCACATTTCTCCATCTTTCTGTAATGCACAAACTTTCTCTTGCTTTTCCACACCATGGAAGGGACGCTCCCCAACTTCAAATCCGGGTCTGATGTGCCAAGCGTGGATGTGCGTTTATGTAAATTTTACTTCTTCCTGTTGCAGGCCAATATTTGGGGGGAGGGGTGCATCTTCCTCGGATTCCACCATTGCACCCTCCAGTTGACAGGAATCCCCGCCCGCCCGGTGTGGTCGCAGGGCCGTCCTCCGGCCCAGCTGCTCTGCTCGTATTACCATAACAATGCCCCCCAAATTACACCCCATTCAACAGGCCTGCCTTTGATTGATTAACTTACAGTTTCTGTTTGAATAACCCTGGCGGCTAAAACCTGAAGGCTGTAATCTCAGAGGGATAGTTAACAGGGCTGGTGTGGAGTCTGTGGTCTCGCTCACACGCTCTTTCTTCCTTGGGCTGACCTCTGCTTAAGCAAGCTGGTCATTGAAGAATCCCTTGTATTTTTTTGGAAGGGCTGCGGCTGCACATATGTTCCAGCTACATCAGATGGTTCGGGGCGGGGGAAGGGAGGTAGAAGAAGCCAGGTTGAAGCTGCAGCGTCGGGCTCCATTAATGTTGCTCATAAGATTCCACATTCAGCTTAGTAACTACAGTAGCACCCAGATGTACTTGTTTCTTTTTCCTTCTAGTAATTGTTTTGCATTGGAGGAGTTATTTTTATTCCATTGGTAAATTGGGACTTCAGGGCATGCTTAGAATGGTTTGAAGCAAGTTTAAATGCAATGGCTTCCTCATTCCCTCCCCACAGAAATGCCTGTTTGAAAATGGAACTTGTACTTCTTGTTTTTGAGGTTGTTGAAATGGATTTATTGCAGTTCACAGTCAGAAGTGGCAGGGTTTGAATCAGGTTTGAAGCTGATTTCAATTATAAACGCTTTGCTTGCACACAGGAGCAAAAGGCATATCGGAATGGATGCATGTCAAATCCTAGTTAGAACTTTTAGCATCCAGATACGCAGAATAGCAGAGGTCTGTGACCCTGGTTCCATCACGGTCCTGCAAAATCCTTTCCTTCGTTTGTCTTTCAGATGTGGTGATAATTCAACAGCTCCGAAGGTCATACAAGTACTTCAAAGATTATAGTCAGGTGGGTGAGTCCTTTTCATTTCGTCTATTTTAGGGATGTTTTAGAATCTCTTCATGATTCTCCCGAATGAAAAAGTGACTTTCCCAAAGCACCAAAATGAGTTAGGTTTAAAGAAAATTACACCCAATACTGTTTGTGATAAACCTCAAGCGCTATCAGTTCTTAAACATTTCCTGAAAAGGAAAGGAGAGGGGGAAAGAAAAGAAAGCCACAGTTAGAAGGCAGCAAGTTTCGTTCATTTGGCATCTTCAAGAATCCAAGTAAATGTTATGAAAAAGCACAGTTTGCTGGACTAAATTGCCTGCATCATCATTTAATTGCTGGATTAAATTACCTGTAGGGGAGGGGCCAGGCTGTGGGGAAGAGAAGCCGAATGCCTGGCTCCCTGCTCAGCTGGGATGACCTGTTTCTCAGGCCAGAAATGCCAGCTGTTTGAAATATTACGCAGGTTTTTACTGCTTTCCTCCAGTCGGAGCAGGCACAACTCCAGAGCCACCTGTTCAGAAGGTTGGAGCAGAAAGGAGGATGGTTACAGGGGTATGTCGTATTTAAGGCTTTGTAACACTAGCCCAAAGCATTACTATTGGCCTTGGAGCGTGTTGGCATTCTGAGGCGAGAAAAGTGGTCGATGGCTGCAGCCCTGGACCGGGGGCTCTCTCTGAAGCTGTGCCCACCAAGGGGGAAGAAACACACGTACTCAGTAAACTGGGATGGTGCAGCTTCTTGGGGATGAGGGAAGTGCGTCGGACACCATCTCATCATTTCCCTTCTGATCAGTGGTTGCTTGGTGGCTGGCCATGCCCAACCTAGCTGGCATTTAGTGAGAGACGCACATTGATTGAAATAAGCTGCCTCTTTGCTGGAAGCGGCTTCTTTCTGGCCTCCCACCCAACTCGGGCGATCGTTTCTTCCTCGGTTACTACACCAAGGATAATAGCGTAGCATCCCTCCCCCCGCAAGCCCGTTCTGCATCCTCGCCTCTTCTGACGGGATCCTGCCTTGATTTCTTTTTCCAGATGATCATGGAGCCCACCAGCCCTAAGTTGCTGCCAGATCCCTTGAAGGAACCGTATTACCAGCCGCCTTACACCCTGGTCATTGAACTGACAGATGTCCTCCTGCACCCTGAATGGTCGGTCTGTATCCCTTCCAGCACTGGGGGAAGGGGGCAGCGCTTTCCCCTCGGAGCCTTGTGCAGTCAGGGGGCATGATGGGCGCTTGGGTGCCACCCTGCCCAGCCAACCAACAGAGGTCGCCGTTCATGGAATCTGCCACCTGATAAGATTAAGAACGGAGCCCGAGGTTTTTTAGTTTTCTCTTTTCCCTGCCCCTTTACTGTTCCCTCTTTTTAGATTGTAAAATAGAGGGTAGAAACTGTTTTTTACTCATACTGCCATTCTGACCATAGAGTAGCAGAATAATTTTTTTTAAAAAGAAGGGATATTGAACATTTTGATTAAATTCAGCGAGCCGTGGGGGCGGGGGCCAAAAAGTCAAGAGGGCAGCCACAACCACGTGATCAACGCCCTGCCCTTTTTGACCTTGTGGAGAGGAGAGACTCCCAGCTGGAGGAGGCGTCCTTTGGACCTTCTCCAGAAGGAGATCGGATTTTGGGGCTGCCTTCCCCGCCACTGATGGGTGTGAGTTGGTAACTCTCCTTTCTGTGTAGCTGGTGTTAGCTTCCTCTCAAGGCTTCCCTTCTCCCTCTCTTTCTCTCTGTCCTGTCCTCAGTTAGTGACCGGCTGGCGCTTCAAAAAGAGGCCAGGCATCGACAACCTCTTCCAGCAGTTGGCTCCGCTCTATGAAATCGTCATCTTCACCTCCGAGACGGGCATGGTGAGCGCTCTGGGCCGGGCCCTGCCAGCTGGGACTCTGCTCTCTCGACCAGGTGCCGGGGAGGCAGCAGAGCTCCAGCTCGTCTTGCCTCCACCCTGTTTTAAAGAGCAGCAGCACTGAGGCTTTGAAGATGCAGGATGAACTTGCCCACTCCATTTAAATTAAAATCCTTTCTTTTTTAATTAAGCTTTGAATAGATCCTCTAGATAAAACTCACCTGCAGGCTTGGCTGCTGCCAGGCACCCAAACACTGTTCCTGCCACCGCTTAGCTGAGATTTATGCCCAGCTCGGGGAATCGCTAACGTTTCAGAAAAGGAAAGGCAGGAAGGTCCATCTTGCTGGAGGCCTGGGCTTTGTGGCTGATATCAGTGCTGGCCACACAGATGCAGAGTGACAACGGGGGATAACCTTAGGCCAGGTCAGGCCACTGAGAGAGGGAGGGGCAGGTTACCACAGCTGGGCCCGAGTCCCACTGGCCTGCTCTTCCCTTCCACGCTCCTTTCTCACGCTTGAGTGGTGGCAGTGGGGTCTCTCCCAGGGAGCGTGCCACTGCTCATTTGAATATGAATGGGCCCATCCCTGCGCCTTGCAGCCTATTGAATCTGGACTATTACTGTGCTAATTGAGTGGGTCTGTCCTTGGGGAGAAAACAGCAGCAGTCCAACAACAGTCTGGAGCTCTGCGCCCCGAAGGCCAGGAACTGCTCAGGGGAAAGGCTGCCTGGGTCCACATCTGCCTTCTTGGCTCTTGGTTAACCCGTCTGATCCGGCTAGCCCAAATCCTTTGCGGTGGCTCCAGAGGGAGAAGGCACAGCGTCACACTTAAGCACCCCTTCCTTAGACGAGGGCTCTGTTAACACCCTTGAGAAAAAGTATGTGAAGATGCGCCCTGTGCTTACGGAGGCTAGTTAGAGAATTCTTGGGTGCTGTGCAAGGGTGCAGTTTTCAGCAGGCGTGGGCGAATATTGTTGCCTGTGTGGCATCCGGGTCTCCCTCTTGAGCCCCTGGACTTGATGTCTTCTCTGAAGGGGAATGAATTGCATTAAGCTGCGGCTTGGCTCTTCCGTGCCCAGCAGCAGAATCTCAGAGAAGAAGGGACTTCCGGCTAGCAGGAGTTGGCTGCACACCCTTTGAAGGGACTCCCTGAAACTGCAAGGAAAGCATCAGAGTCAGGCCGCACGGACTCTTGAACTTCCTTTGATTTGAGCTGATGCTCCTCATGCTGCACCGATGTGTGTAAAGTAGTTTTAGAAATATTTTGGGCTTGTAATTTCCTTCTGCCTTCCCTCTCCTCTCCCAGACAGCCTTTCCCCTCATTGACAGCGTCGATCCTCACGGCTTCATCTCCTACCGGCTCTTCCGAGATGCCACTCGGTACATGGACGGGCATCACGTTAAGGTACTGGTGCAGGATGATCGGGAGGGCAGCTGGGTCGCTTGTGGGAGAGTTCCAGTGATCCTTTAGCCTGCACGTTTGTAATGGATTTAGATTTGCACCCGAGGAAACCATAGGAAGCTGCCCCCACCCTTCCTTAAAAGGAACACGCACCTTCAAAAGAATAAGGAAACAAGGATGCGCAAAGCTTAGTAGCGAACCCCAAACCGCAGCTACCGTTCGTGCTTCTCTGCCTTGTACTGTTTATGTTTTTAATTGGTTTTATGCTGCTTTTAGAATTGTAGTTTTGGTTTTGGCTATTGCCTTGCAATCTGCTGTAGGTTCTCCAGATTCAGCAGGGTATAAGCGAAATAAATAAACCTGCCCCCCTCTCAGTTAGCTGCACGGGCAGGACAGGTGCTTTTGGGAAAAGCTTGCCTCTAAAAGCACAGTTCCTTCTCCATCCTGCCTTTCCCCTTGCCAGTATGATATTGAAAAAGCCTCGCGGCGTCCGTTTTGGACACACTCAAGACCCACCTGGGTCTCGGAGACCAAAGACACGCAGGCAGACCCGCTGGCCTCCCTCAGCCCCAAGAGGCCTGGATGAACCTCTCTTTCGTGCTTCGCGTCACTCTTGCTCGGCTTGGTCCGTGGGCTGTGCGGTCTGCGAGTCGGTCCACCGTGTTGGGAGGTACCAGGTCTGGAAGGTTTACAGGCTGTGGGTGAGATTCAGGCTGAGCGTTTTGACTGACCGCCCTCCATACGTAGGGGGCCCCTGCCAGGATTTTCTTAGTATGCCTTGTTGAAGGAACCCCACTAACTTGGCTTGCACGTAGGAGTAAGTCTTAATGGGGTGGCCAAGAGCTAGCCACTAGATGGGTTTGTCTTGCTGTGTGAACCAGGTGATTGTGTGTCAGCATCCCTGAGAACTGGTGGGCCAGAAACGCAGAAGTGTGGTCCCCCAGATGCACAGCTGGAGGATCCGGTTCCACTGAGTCTAGCAGGGCTTGCTTCCAGGTAAGGGTTACAGGAAAGAGCTACAGAGGAGGAGGACCCAAGCCTCCCTGGGGACCCAAGGTATTTGGCTGAAGGGACCCCCTCCCGCTGCCTTGCTCTTGGCATCCCCAGAAGGCCCTTTTCCCCTAACTTTGTTGCCTGTTGACTCTGTCTGGACAAGCGCCGGAGTCTGAGATACCAGCTGCATTCGCCACGTGGTCCACAATGCAAGTCCCCTGGGCCGGCGCTCCACAATAGAGTGTGGATGGCTTAGCTGGGCTAGATTGGACTGGGGGCAAGCTTGCCTTCTGTCTGTCTTCTGTGCTGCCCCCCTCCCCCGTCACCTCCCATCTGCTGCTGGTGGGGTGCCTTCTCTGTATCTTAATCGTTTGAATTCTTTTTTGGGGCGGGGGAGAGGTTTTCCCTTCCTGTGAGAACCAGCCTTGCTCTCTGGCAGTAAATTGCTGAAGATCCGTGCTATAACTGCCGCATTAAAGATGGAGAAACAGACAAAACTAACTTCTTGTGTAGCCCAAAAGCTCAAGTATGTGGGCAAAAATGCTTTAAACAAGTCAACCAGGCGATTAAAGATAGATTGAAAGAAGGCATTTTTAATTGCGGCGTGGCCGGATTTCTGTCTTAATTCCTTCAGATTACTTTTTCTTTGTACTGAAAATAAAGATTTGGATCTCAGAGTGATTTGTTTAAAAGCAAAGTTTGTTCTAATCCAGCAAGGTAACAAAAGCAAATAAAAAGAAGAAACATAATTGGTTTATTTAATTACTTAATGACTAACTTAAACTGCTTACCACAGCAATCAAGCCATAATTTGTTTTTTTTTAAGAGTATGGGATTTTTAAGTATTTGGTACGCTAAAAAGTAAGTATCGATTCTTTAAAAACAGTTCTCTGAGCAATTGAGGCAATTTTTATTATTTTGTTTATTTAAAAGCTTATACACCTTTCTAATCAAATTGACTGCGTGAGTGGCGTACATTTCTCCCAATCCATAACTTGGGTTAGAAATAGGTAATTGTAAAGTCATCAGTTATATCACGTCCAAAGACCATAAATCACAATACAGCCATACGTGAACCAGGAGTCTAATCCTTAAAAGTGGTATTCCTCTGAATTGTCCCTGTTTGAAACGAGGCAGGAGATAAAATGGTAGAAGGACGTGGGGGATTCCCTGCCAGGAAAATCAACGCCTGAAGGCAGGGAAACGTGGAACGCTGTTGGGCCGCACACAGAGCACGCCCTTAGGGTTCTCCTCCTTGCTCAACAAACGAGTCTTTTGCGAAACATTAGGGGAGCCCCAGAGACCTAGTCCCACACGCCCGTTGGCCAGACGGTCTCTTCTTCCTCCTCGTAGGATATCTCCTGCCTGAACAGAGACCCTGCCAAGGTGGTCGTGGTGGACTGCAAGAAGGAGGCTTTCCGCCTACAGCCCTTCAACGGCATGGCCCTGAAGAAGTGGGATGGGAATTCAGAGGACCGCACGCTCTTTGACCTGGCTGCTTTTCTCAAAAGTAAGGGGAGGGCCTGGCTGGGAAGCAAGATGAGACATGCACGCATCACCTTGAGCAGTCTCTGTTCCCAGGGGAGTTTTTCCAGGAAGATACAAAGGGAGGTTTGGGCCTGCGTTCTGGTCAGGCTTTGGCCTGGAGAATCCAAGGTGCAGATGTCATAGGGTGGTTGTGGAGAGGGGCTTGAGCCCGGGCAGGCTTTGCCCGCTGGAGTTCTGAGCTCTCCTTGGGGGAAGAAAATGTCGTTCTACCTAGAATGTTGTGTGGCTGGATCTAATTTGCGGTTCTTGTTGCCTGCAGCTATTGCCTTGAGCGGAGTGGAAGATGTCCGGTCAGTGCTGGAAAACTATTCCTTGGAAGAGGATCCTCTGGAGGCTTTTAAACGCAGGCAGTCCCAGCTGGAGCAGGTGAGCGTGAAAAGGGCCACCTTATCGGGAGGAAGGGAGGGAGTTAGTTGCCCATGCGAGAAAAAAACTACCGAACACCAGGGCCAGGTGTGTTTGGGGGTGAATGAGAGCTGATGCTGCTCCCAAGAGTGTAGCCCTTAAATATGGCGCCCAGCATAAGCAGCACCTGTGGCACTGCAAGCAAAGTCAGGGTGAATGCCTTTCTTGCTCAGCTGACGAAGGAGCCCTAGATAGCAGCCAGGGTTTTTGACAGAGGTGTTTAGGTGGGAAAGAGAAGGCCCTGAAGGAAGTAGAAAGCGAGACCTTCAGACCGTGCAGCCGTCTGTTCCAAGGCTTAAAGAAATGCATGGCTTTGACTGTGTTCAAATCTATTTGTATATATTCCTGCAAAGACGCATAATCGCAGCCCTTCAGAGCAGGCCCATTATTGCAAAGAGAAAGTCTCTTGAACAGAAGTGACTTACTCAGGGTCACCTGAGGAGGGTGTGACTGCCGTGACCAGCCCTCTGCCCTACTGATACCAAGTCTTAGATTTTAAAATTAGCAGTGTTCCCCATCCGTCCAGGCCCCAGATAGACAAAAATTCTGCTACCTCAAACGTTACAACACAATTCTTGGTGAGATGTGAGATAGGTCTGTTTCTGAAGCCCACATGGTTTAATTTAATTTCTTCATTTTCCTTGATACAACACTGACTGCCAAAGTCTCTTGGTGGTTTGCACTCGAAGAGTTGAGCCTGGGTCGGTGTGCTTTCCTAATGCCTGCTAATTGGGCTCCTTCTTGATCTGCACGCTTGACATCAGTAGCTGCGGGAGATTGCCTCTGAGGGCCTGCAGAGCTCTTCCTGCCTTTCTGATCAGTTTATTTATGGCCAAAAGGCCCAAATAGCAAGTTACAAATATGATCTAAAATTTGACATTAGATAAAATAGTGTAACAAGTAAAGCATTTAATAAATATTACATAATACACTTAATACCCCAACTCATTGATGTGTTATTAAAAACCTTGTTTTTATAGCCATAGTTAAAAATTTGGCCATTGCCTCTGTAATTTTAGGATTTTCATCTGCAAGTAAAATTTTAACATACTCAGGAGTATCTCTTCATGGTTTTGATTTTAAAATAGGCCAGATAACCTCTTGCCAAAGACTCTTGTAAAATTCACAGTACAATAAAATAGGATCCACCGTTTCAAGATCAATACCATTACAGGGACAAGATCTTTGAGAGATGAGGATTTTTTGAAATCTGCCATATAGCATATTTGATGGCCACACATCTAATCTGACTTTTGAAAAGGCTATTCTGTATTTACTTAAATATAAACTCTTCAGATATTTAGGGAACTGAAAAGTGTATCTGTAATTAATGCCAGAAGTTACAGGTGGACACAAAACTTTGGCTTTAGCCATTAATTCCTGTACTGACTTATCCCATAATCTTGATTTAATACAACTGATAGATCTGGTTTACTCCCTTTGGGCTGGAATAGGGCTGCAATGGTGTCTGAGACACCTGGGTGAGCTGAGGAGGGGGCTGCATTTCGAGGCTCTTGGTGACGGCAGGTGCCGCCTGTCTCTGCCCTTTCTCAGGAAGAACAGCAGCGTCTCTCCGACCTCTCCCAGCACAAGAAGCAGCAGCTCTTCCTGGGCTCCCTGGCGAGCCGGCTGTGGCCCCGCTCTAAACAGCAGTGACCCTGGCACCGCTGCCCCGTCCACAGCTGGACTTCTCAGCCGTTCCTGTCCCTCGGATCCCAAGCCTGCTGGGGAGGGGCCCTCTCGGGGAGGCTGCAGCAGGAGGGGCACAGGCTTCAGTCCCGCCAGGACACGGATCTTGGGCCACCACTTGCTGCCTCCTGCCCTCGATCTCTGCTCCTCCAGCAGCAGCAGCAGCAGCAGCAGCAGCATTTCCAAGACCAAGACGTCGGTGTGCGAAAGGGAGCCCGTTCTCCAGCGCTTGGAAGGGAACCGCTTCCGGAACAGGCTCCAAGAGGGCCGGGGGAGCAAAGCCACAACATAACCAGGAACTGAGCCTCATTGTGACAGCAAGAAGATGAGAAAACTCAAGCAAGGGAGGGAGGGGGAAGATGGTCTCTTCAGTGGTCTTTCATCTCTCGTTATCATGTTCCCATCAGGCAGCAGACTGCTGTTCGCCTGTTGGGTTGAATGGAAGTGAATGTTGGGTGCACTCAAAATAAATGGCCATCTTTATAATGACATCTTCTGCAATGTGGGTTCTGGTTTCCAGGCAAGTCAAAGGGAGGAGGAGGAGCAAAGAGGGTTGGGCAAGTAGGATGATGTTTGGATGTCCTTGTCCTGGGAGTTGAAAGCCTGCATCGGCCCTGCCTTTTCCCCCATCCACAACATCTTGCTGCTGTAAAGTCAGCGCTGGTCTTTGTCCTGGATCTAAGGTCGGATGTAAACAGGAAAGAAAACCAGCTGGAATGTGTTCTGGGTGGGGGAGAATTCAAGTCCTCCAAAGGTGTTTTGCTTCTGATGCATAAATGTTGCAGAATTGTTTTACAATTTTTCATTTTAAAAAAAATTCCCCGCACACCAAATGATGGAAAACCTGGTCTTATAAAATGCATGTTTTGGGTAGTCTTTGGGGCAGTTCTGCACTATGGGCTAGTTTGTGATGCACAAGTGCAAAGCTTTTGTACTGAGTGCAGGAAATTAGTACTCAGTTTTAGGATTTCAGTTTTGGCAACCAAAACTCACTCTCGAGAGAGAGAAACCAGGCTGGCAGACCAATATTTCAAAAGACCAAAGAATTTGATCAGAAACCCTTAGAAATTGCAAACTGGCAGTAGGCTCTGGTGAAAGGAGCAGAGCCTTTCTCTTCAACAGCTTTGCCCTCCTGCCTGAAGTTGGGGACTCGGCTAAACCTCCTCCCTTTGGAGAAGCACGATGCTCTGGAAGATGCAGGCTCAGCCAGTCTTCCTGCCAGGGCAATAAACCTCCTGCATGAACATGCATGCAGGTAATTCTGAATGACTTGGGGTGTGCATATGTGTGGAGGGAGACAGTAAGGGAAGAGACCTGCAGAAGACTCTGCTGCCATGTTATAAATGGAAGGTCTAGCTTAATGTGCTCCGGTGGAACCACGTGGAGCAGCCGAGGCCCTGCGTGCAGAATTGACCCAGTCCCAGCCTGGTGAGTCACTGCGGTACCATTTCCGTTGTGGGCTCTCCCGCCCCCAGCCGCCAGAATACGCTGCCTGCTGCAGATTCCCCCCCACCACCGCCATTCTTCTTAGAAAGAAAGGGGGAGGGCATTTCCCAACAGGAACTGAATCCAAATCTTTCCCACACTCCCCCCTCTTTCTCTCCCCCTTCCCTCAAATCTTTGCTAGGCTAAGCCAGACACCCAGAGTTGGGGAACAGGAGAGGAATGAACGGCTCTGTGTGCGCGTGTGTGAACCTTTGAGTATTTAGAACAAGTGTTTTTTAAACTTGGCAACTTTAAGAGGGGTGGACCTTAAGAGGACCCCCCCGGATTCCCTCCCAGATGCAACAAGCCTTATCTGGCCCTCAGCAGTGAAGAAGGTTGATGGTGGAGGGAGGGGGACCTCTGGCTTCTCCCCGACACAGCTACAACTGCAGGGACTTGGAACCAGGGCAGCCCTGTATTCCTTGCAAAGACGTGGGGCAGCCACTCTGCCACTTGCAGGAAGGGGTTTTCGGGGCTGTGGCAGTTAGGAAAAGACAACACCATGGGGGCTTGCGGGGGGCCCAGAAGCAGGTTAGGAACTCGAGCTGGGAAGCCATCAGGATGTGGCAGATCGATAAGTGGAAATGAGGCAGGGGGTGAGGGTAACTGAGTATACCTGGGGGGGCTGCTGTGGTGTACTGGCTCCCCCAAGGGGGTCTCTTCCTCCTCCTCCCCTTCAAGTCAATAAGTAAATCCCAAGGTTGCCAAGGCTTGTCTCATTGCTTCCTGTTTGGCCTCTATAATAGATCCGCTTCCTGGACCTTTTGACGTTACCTCACCCTTCCCCTCGGCTCCAGGAGGAGGAGGACGAGAAACTTGAGAGTAGGGAGGCCGGGGGCAGCTGCTGCTGCGGCAAAGGTTGCTGTTTGCAAAACAAGGACAGCAAAACTCTGGGAAGCCTGGGTGTTTCTCAAGGGGACAGTCATCGGGGTGCAGGGAAGGTGCCAGGCTCTGCCTACAGAGAGGTTTGTGGGAACATCCTTCAAGCAGAGTCTGGAAGGCCGTGGGGGGATGCAGGGCTTGTGGATTCCTGCACTAGGTAAGAGTTGGACGAGGTCTTCTCCAAGATTTTGTTCCACCCTTGCGTTCAATGGTTCTGCCCTGTGCTGGACAATCCAAGCCACTCCTGGCCCTCTGTTATAGAAGAGGACCACTCGTGATGCAGACCACTGGCCCAGACACTCTGGATTCACCTCAACTGTGTCTGGCTTCAGAATGGCTCTTTTATGATCTACCAAGGGTCTGGCAGCCATTCCAGGATTAGGACTACACTGTAAGACCCTGGTCTCTGAAGTAGCCAAGGCCAGAGGAGTTGACTAGATCTTTGCTTCACCAGCCTGAGAGGAGCATTCCCCAAGATCCTCCAGAATGCACAGAAGGTCCATGGCTGATCACCAAAAGACCTTCTGCAATGCTACTGTTGCTGACTGAATGTCCTGGTTAAGGGAGGTGAGCCCTACTTTGGATAAGGGGTGTCCGGGGACATACAGTACTGTGCAAAAGTTTTAGGCAGGTGTGAAAAAATGCTGTAAAGTGAGAATGC